TGGGTAACAAGCCAGATTATTCTGATAATCTACAGATTATCAGATTATCAAAATAATATGCTTATCAGGAGATTATAAATAATCCACAGCTACGCCAAACAGACCCTAAGAGAAAATTTATGTTAACCTGCTTAATAAAAAAATGACTTAAGGTCCGCTTTTAAATTTCGAGGATGAAGTTTTTGTAAGTTGAGAAGATTGCAACGTTTCATTTATTTTTGGGGGGAGAAGAATCAAAGAGCTGAGCCGGAGAGAAGACAGAGAAGATTCATGCAAACAAAGAATTGAGGAAGATGATGTGCAGAGTGGGAAATTTGAACGTTGAGGTAGAGGAAATTGAACAGAAGGGAGATCAAGTGAGAAATCTGGAAATTTAAAAAAGGGGATCCGAAGCCTACACGCCTATAAAAATGACACAATACGTGAGATTTACTTTACAAGAGATTGAAGAGTGCGAGAGACGAGCACAAGCCATGGTTTCCCAGCAGCCAAAGGAGGGGAAGAGCGACAGCGGCGTTAGAGTCGAGCATAGGAGGAGGCGACAACACTCGAGCAGAGTAGAAGGATTTAATGACGATTTTGAGCTGTCGAGCAGAGAAGAAGGATTCAATGACGATATTGAGCTGTCGAAGAGGAAGGTGTTGTGGAAGATGTGTTATTGTAATGGAGCTCTTGCTTGTGGGATTTGATTGGTGGAGCGAGTCTTGTGGGAGGAAGTTGCAATTTGGATCTCGCTTGCAAGGGGGTATTTTATTTAAAATAATATGTAAATTTTCTACTATGAGTTTAAGAGTCAACATTAAGACAAATTAATCAACATCGAGGTGAATACTCATGTTCTTATACTATAATAATGTTTTGATTTTTCAAGGATCAAATGCATTTATTGGTGTTGTCATTAGTTATGTTGAAATTACTACAAACTCGTGATTTTGAATTCTATTGAACTTTTGTTTAAATATTAGAAATGATTTGTGTGCGCAACATTATTTAAATTATCATTTGAATTATTTATAAATTTATTGTCTAATATGCAAATTGAAATGAAATATATTTTTAATTAATAATGATTTCGATATAATTCTGGTGTGTGTATGACTGACTATGATGCAGTCACCTTCTTATAGTACTAGTGGAGGAACACTGAGGTTCATGTGCACGTATATGAAAAATGATGTTGATATTGAAGTATCTTAATCAGTATAATTTTTTTTACGGTGTTTTTGTGACGTTTGTACAGACATAGAATGATATTGATATGTTATTGAAGTACTAAGATTATTTGAATAATAATAATTATTTATATTGATTTATTAAAATTTTAACTGATATGCAAATTACTTTTTTTTTCCTTGTATTATTGTAGCTTTACTGGCATATTTAGCTCATTGTTAATTTAAACTAACTTTTCATGTCAATTGAGTGATTAAATGATAAGCGAAGAAGAGAAAATTTTATAGAAGATGCAGACAACCAGTAACAAATATTAAATTTATTTTCTTAATTCTTCATTTGTTAAATGTTACATTGCTATAGAAAATTTAGTTCCTATCATTCGACCTTAGTAGTCTTAATTCAAGCCTTGGTCCAGGTCGTGTCACCATGCCTCTAGTGTCAGTTCCTCAAACTCAAGACTGCTTTAAACTCTCATCCTGAATTCAGTTGGACTCTTTCCTACGGGCTCGGTTGGAAATATGTGCATCTTTTCCTCATCAACTGGAAGTTGGTACTCCTCTGTGTCCTCACCATCTTCATTTTCTGATGTGTCGTTACCCAATTTTTTAAGAACACACTGCTCAATGAAACCGAAAAAAGGAATTTGACTTAATTTGGCAGCTAAAATTGTGACGCATATAACAGCGGGAGAGGGAACCAGAACGAAAATCAGCAGTTTTCCTGCTGCGAACTGTGAACGACGAAGGTGGTCTTTGAATACCCGAGAGAGATCACCATTTTGACACACACCATCTGAAAGAAATTTAAAAAAAAAAAAAATGCTCAGATAGAAAAATAGAAGGGTGAAAACAATATCAAAATAATATAACAACAACAAAAAGTATGAAAAAAAATAGAAAATAAGAAGATATAAATAGTCTCCTCTCAAAATAACCCTAATTCTAATTGAAATAACATAAAATGTGGGTCCCCAATGGCTTGTCAGTATCACCGGGAAAATACCGCTACCACAATTACAGAATGAATATCCCGTCTTCCCTGCAACTCGGGGTCATGAAGTCACAAAATCCCACGGATCCTGCATAAAAGGGCTCCCGGAATTGCATGATCCTGAGGGACAATTCCCGCATTCCTTCCCTCACCGGATTCGGGTCGCGAGTCGTAGATGTGTCCCATGTCATCATCTCACCAACCCACTGTGCTGCGAGTGATGCTTTTTCTACTGTTTGTCTCACTTAATTTATGTTCTATTACAGATAAGCTCCCTTTTTTAACTTTTCTTTATTCCTTGATACATTATAGTTTAAGCCTATTATGTCTGCTTTGTTTTCAACTGAAGTACCTCATAAATCATATTTTCTGTATATTTCTTGCTTTGGATGCTGTCCTAATATAAATACCTATGTTTCACTTGCTCATGGATACTGGATTTGATCTTCTGTGCAATATATGTCATCTTTGGAATGCCTTTTTAGGCTGGATATGCTCTAATTTTCTTGAATCTTATTATCCAGAAAGGAATGCTTCTCTTTCAGACTGCACAATTTGATGGAATTCTGAAGAAAATTACAGAATTTAATGTGGTGCTTTCAACTGAAATGGTAAGTTTTTAAACGGACTTAACATCAGTGAAATGACTTTTTTATCTTGATCAGTTTCAAAAATATAGCAAATAGGTTTTCTCTGCTGGCATAGAAATTCTCTATTTTTGTAATTGCATCATTTAGGTTTTCTGTTATTTTTAGTTGCCTACTTTTTAAATTTTAAGCTTATACATGAGTATTCGGATTAGTGTTCTTTTTTATTTTAAAAATCTTGTAAGGACCATCATTACTAGCATTATCCCAACTTCTTGGGTTCAGTTTTATGAATCTTTGCTTCTTATTGAGTGAATTTTGAGATGTTGAATATGCTTTTTAAAATTATTTTGAACAGCTTCTATAGCTGTATAGTTGCAATGGGTATGAGCAGTTTTCCTCTGCTGGCATAGAAATGTTCAATTTTTGGACTCTAGTGGTCGGAAAAATGATATTCCGAAGTCGACAGTATATATTTTATTTATGATTTCTTCCATGTGATTGTCGATGTAATTTAGCCATATTGAGAGCTTTAACTGTGTCGGCACTTAAATTCTTTACGAAATGAAGGCCCCCACATCAAGTCAAATGCACACTCTCACTAATTATTTTTGGAGCTAACTTTATCTTTTAACAAGTTAATAAACTTTTATTCCGATGCTGCCAAATAGTAGTATGTTTGTGTACATATCTTTGAAATTCTCTAATTATATTTTCTCAATTTATTTTACTGGTATTCTTGCTAATTTTCAACCATCTTGTTCATTCCTGCATTTTTTTATGAACTTAATAAGAGCTTTTACTCTTTTTTTTTGTTCTTGTTAAGAAGTTTCTTTTTGTTGTAACATATGCTTGAATCATTTAGTTAAGCCAAAAGAAATTTTAAGAATTCATAGCAACCATTTCACATCCCAAAAGTTGTCTTAGTTATATCTGTCTCCTTGACTCTGACCTGATAATATCCCGATCTCAGATCATTCTGAGAAAATATAGTTGCATCCTTTAATTGATCAAAGAGATCATCGATAAACTAAGGCTGGAGTAAAGTGCATAATACCATAGATAAACTGACATCAAGCTCATAAGAAATAAAAGAATGTGATGTACCTGGATCGAATAGAATAATGTTAAGTTGATCTTGAATCATAAGCGTACCTGTAATTACTTTATATTCTTATGCTTGTTTAGGTCTTCACTAGTTGCTCATTTCGGAGCTCTGAACTTTCTTCCTTTGCTTGCATTAAAGGTTTTTCCAAAACTTGAGTTTCGTCGATTGACTGTCTTTCTATAATTTTTTGGGCTATCTTTATCTCTAAAATGTGAGTGGTTTGTTGTCCCTTTTCTTTTATTATAAACAGTTCATTTTAAGATGCCTTGACTGTCCACATCTATAACACTTTCATGAATTCATTAAACACTGCCCAAAATATCTTTTTCACATTTCTTACAAACTAGCCTTTCTGACTGATGTTGCTTTTGCTTGTCTTTTGTCATGACTTAGTCTGAGGTTTGAAATTAACCAAGAAAGGAATGGGTGGTCGGATGGTGGAAATAAATTATCTGTTGTTCTATTTCTATCACTAATAGTTTAATATGCAAATTTTCATGGAGCCACTAAAGAAAACAATTTAATTAACATGTAGAATTTTTTACCTATTTAGTTCTTGCTGTCGCTTTTTGTATACATAAGCTCCTTATCTATTTATTTTATTCAAAAACTTAAAAGTAAAAAGAAAATATTAAAATAACATAATTAGTTATCTAAAGATAAACTAGTAGTAATCACATATCTAAACTACAGTAACCTAAGGAAGAGAAAATAATATGCATGTTATTCTTTCATATTTTTATAAGAAATCTTGCAATAATCTAATGTATGTATCAATGAAATTCACTCAATGAAATAATATGAACTTTTACATGCATTAACTTTACTTTATACTTTTAACATACACATATGACTCTTTGAGGAGTACTATTAAAACATAATCAGATACACCCCTGGCCGATATTATTTCATCGGCATAGCGGTTAGCAATCTAAATATGTAATTTTTTGAGGAGGAAAAGTTCTTACGCTCTTTTTGTCAATATAAGTAATAGTGTAATGCATGAATGAACAAGATGGTTGAAAATTAGCAAGAATACCAAGTGTCATGATAATTATTTGGGGTGGTAAGCTTTCTATTTATTAATCTTTATCCATTATCCCTCGACACAATTATTAGTGATCTAAACATGATAATTATTTGGGGTGGTAAGCTTTCCATTTATCCTTGACAGATATTCTCTCGTCGGCACAGTGATTAGTGATCTAAATATCGCAATTGTCTTGGGTGATAAGAAAAAATATACACGTGCATTTACACTAGTGTCCCCTATTTATACCATTATGAGGTGAACTCTTCTTAACATGCACATACAAATATTCATGTATAGGTTATTTCATTTTTCATACAATATATCATGCATAACTTACATATCTTTCTATCATGCATATCATGTGTACCATGCATATCTTTTTTATCTTACAAAATAAATAATCTATTATAATTTAAATTTAACTGAACTAGAGCGTATATAAATTCAAACATATATTATGAAATATAGCAAATTATTGAAATTTAGAAATATAGTTACTTACATCGTTTGTGACATTAGATGCTCAATTATCCATAACTAGCTTGGCGTTGCGATAACCTTTATGTTGTTGTTAATAACTATTAGAACATAATATCAAGCTTTAAGATTCAAAGAAGTTTTCATTATCGAATTATTCTTCTTAAGTTAGCACATAATTATTTTATTTGACGGAGCAATCCTATGATGAGTTTCTACGTTCTTGCCATGAGATTGCCACCTCATGTAAGCAATCTGGAATTCTTATACATTTTTAAAATTTGGGTGCTTTCTGATAACACAATATCAGGTATTTCTCAATTGACCTCGGAGACTGACCCTTAGTATATTGTGATTCTCCTTCAGGAATATTCGTCTATATTGGCACAATTTAATATTCAAGTGTGATTTATTATATAATAATTATGTCGTGCATGCATGATACATTAAGTCATATGGGTTACACATCTTTATTCATCAACCTATAATTCTGTATAAACTAATTCATATTTGATCTCATTCTTCTTCTAAATATTACATGCTCATCATTCTTTTCTACCAATATCATAGCACTGATAGCACTTTATGTCACAACCTAACTGATCCCCTAATTTAGGGTCAATTGCGGTGCGACGAATGCATACGATTCAGCCAAACTAAATTCTTATCAGTACTTGTCTTTATAGCCCAGTGGGCGATGAACTAGTCTAAGTAAATTGTCACAAATATATATGATACATTTCATTTCATAATTTTTTCACATATACTTAGAAATGTGAAAAATCATATTATTAATATAAAAGTAGTACATGTCACACCTAGCTATATGCCCAAGTGCTCCTTACCCTTTCCTGAAGTCAAAAATGTAGAGTGAGCCACAACAATCTAAGCTAAATAATGAAGGCTAAAATAGAATTTTATAGATGAAAAAAACAATGTTCATGCTCATTTGTAACACGTGCATGTCTACAACACGTGTCACAACATGATATAATCATATAAGACTTGTAGAAGAAAATTTATGTAATGCAGGGTACCTTGATTATTGTATAAAACATGTTTTTCTTCCAATCATATTAAATCATAAACATATTTCTAGGAGTCATCTATCTAATCATAGGAATGTCACTTATAATTATGTTTCAATTATTTTCATGTTATGTCTTTAAGTCATCACGCAGCTTGAAGGCTATATCAACTATTAATAAAAGTTGAGTTCTTCCCAACATAATAGTTATCAATAGTCATCTCTGGTACCGATGTTCATTACATTCAATTTTTGTTTAATCCCAACGGTTCCCTCTTCTTTCTTTCTTCTCAACCCTTCCCCAACCCATGAAATGGACTTACTAAAGAGCGTAGCTCTCAATTCGATAGTCTCGTGGTTGTTCTCGCAAAACTACTGTAATAGAAAACACATGGAATGCTTGAATTCACAACAAATGTCAAAATGGAAGTGTTAGGAAGGAAAAGAATATCTGGAATATCATAAAATGAGAATTTCTTCTTACTAAGTTATCCTCAGGAATTCCAGTCGTGAGTTGTTGCTCTTTGTTGTGCACGCAGATCGTGTTTGTAATGGCAGCAAGGTCGCGAAAAAACTCCAAGCACACGAAACTAAGAAATCGAGAGAGAAGGAAATGGATTTTGATGCTTCTCATGCATTTATTCGTCGTCAAGATTAAGTCCTGCCCTTTGATTGTATCTCATAGTTGAGAATCGCCGAAAATAAATCGGTGGAAGCAGTAATGCAGGATTAAGTATTTAATGAGATGTTTAATTAGTTTAATTAAGTCAATATTTTATTATTTTTATATCTCTCATTATATTCATAATTCATATATAGTGGTATATATCAAATTGATCAATTCTATATGTAGAATTTTATAAAATTACTTTGATCGAATTTCGGGAAATGCGAAATTTGGGGTATGTTTTCCAAGTGCCAAAGTTTTTTTCTGATTTCTCAAAGTTAGGTGTTACATGACTAGCAGACTGGTTGTAAGTAAACTCAATCTGAGGAAGAATCAAGTCTTATTGCTTATGTTCTGGCCGGCAAAACATCTAAAGAGATTCCACTAATTTTGATTTATCACTTTTGTTTGCCCATTTTTTTAGGTGTGTTATTGAACTGAATTGTAACTTGCTAACTAGCTTACCTCATAAGATTATCCAAATTTAACTTGGAAAGAAATTTTATGGCTCCATCCAAAGTGATGATTCAAGGTGTGTTGCGAAGAATGAGGGCATGCTGTGAAGATGGACTATCTCCCTGTCATATAATTCTATTATACATGAAGCGCCCATTGTCTTGTGGCAATGTACAAAATTTATCATTTTGGAAAAGTGAGAAACAACCACGATAATTAAATCCTTGCTCCATTGGGTTCGTAGGAGGCCATAACG